ATACACTGACGTGTGTGTGTGTGTGTGTGTGTATATGAACACATATATATAGATATATATATATATTTCTCCATACACACCCACACACATCCCTTTCTTCATGCTTTCTATATTAAGGATATAATATGCATATCCTTTATGTTTTGTTTTAATGTCAGTGGCTGTGACTATTAACACAGGATCTTCTTTAGAAAACAAACAAACAAACAGTGAACTAAAACTTTAGTGACATTTATTTTTAAGAATAATGATTTTCTTGCAGAATTCTTTTCTTCTGCCTAGGTACTTTTTTGCCTCCTTGAATGGCATATTTGCAAGTACAATTTCATCTGCACAGAGGAACAATAGCTTTCAGTTGCACAAAGGATTTCTCCCACCCTGAATCCAAACCACAATGCCTCTTGCTCTGATAATAGCTTCTGAAAAGATTTTGTAATGCACAGAATTAATACATGATTATTTCCGCCTCACTTCTCTCATTTATTAGATTCTATAGTGAATTCCAAATTAAAAATAGCACCTCTTGAGTTTCTTAACGTTCTAATATTTTGAAACAAATCATATTCTGAAGTTCCTCTTTTTGCCCGTGTTTATTGAGAAATCTGAATTTTTTTATTATTGCTCAGAAGAAAAACTGTGTAATATAAATGTAAAAATCAGAGCATGCAAAAATTGCAAAAAACCATAATGTTGAGTTGTTTTAAAATAAATTGTAGTGATTTTTCCTTTGTAAACTGAAAGAGTGATGAAGTGCAGTAGCTGGCAAACTGAGTTTTAATTCAGGAATATATTTTTAAATTTAGGAAGCAAAACAAAACCTCAACTTCAGTTAGATTTTTGCAAGGACCAGAATCATGCTCTGTGTCCTAAAGTAAATAATGAAGTGTAATTCTGCTGAGGCATCTGAAAGGTGAGCTTCCACATCACTGCATGGGGAGCTCCTCTCTGCTTTACAAAGACTTCCTCCCACACTTCCAACAGAGGTGTGAGAACTTATTTACATGAAAGCGTACATTAAATATTTACTGACATTTGCCAGAAATTCGTTTGAAATGTCGACTGTTCTGCTGCATCATGGGATGACACCGTGGAACGGGACGCTGCTCTTTGATTAGAGCAGTGATTTGTGACTCCAGTGTTATGGCTGCTCTAGTTAATGACTCACTTTTGGGTGTATATAAAATGTGTTCTGTCGAGGGACCGGGAAAGCCTACATGAGATCAGACCCTAAGCATTTTTTCTTCCCTCTTAAAAAACCCACAGACCCTCACAGAAGCAGCGTATTCAAGTAAACACTGTCAAGTGTGTTAGGTGCAATGTTGTTCTTTGCCTTCTAGCATTTAAGCTAAGGTCGGGCTGTCTCAAAGCAAGGCTGGGTGAACACTTCCAAAGCTTCTTCATTCAGAGTCACTTTCTAAGCCATTCATTTAGTAATTAGTTGCTTTTCCTTCTCTGGGACCCTATGATACTCCATAATTTTCGAAGGAGAAAATCATTCAGAGGAATGTCAATATATTCTGTTACATTAAGTTAAAAAAAATGCGTAGTTGCATGTAGCTGAGTTTAATATTTATTGCGTGTAATTTATGTGGTCTATTTATTTGTTAAGCCTTGGGTGGGGAGGTAATTTGTTTTTCTTGTTATGCAACAGCTATTGTTCCCCTTCCACCCCAGGCACACGCACCATGGCACACGCACCATGGCAGCCCCAACCAGCACAGGGAGAGGTGTTCTGCTTTAAAAGACATCCGACTGTAAATGTCAAATTCATAAATATTTAAACACTTTTCTTTCAATTTCAAGTCAAGGCTGACAGGACGCCTCTAATTAACCCTGGGCTCCGTTTCAGTCTGGGGCCTTATTGCAGGGAAGAATCAGGGGGTTAGGTGAGGTGGGGAAATCTGTGCTCCTGGCTAGAGGGAATTTCGGGGAGGGGTGAGGGGGGTTGGGGGAGGAAGGAGGGAGCTGGTAACTAACACGTCGGATTAATTTTTACCCGTTTCATAATGTGATGTTTGGTAAAGCATCTAGCAGGATGGAAGGGCAGCGGGTTTCTCCAACTGCATTGGGGGCAGGGGGGGGCTGTTTCCTGAAAGTCTCCGGATGGGACGCGCCGGGGAGGACCGGGCCCCACTGCCCTCTAAGGCTCCGGGCATCCCCAGCCCGGGGCCGCCGCCGGTGCGCGGCCTGCAGCTGGAGCCGCAGCCGGGAGATGAGGCTTTGCCGTCGGTCGCACCCAGCGGTCCCCTCGGAGCGGCTCAGCCGAAAGGGCATCAGCCACCGGGGCCACGGTGTTTCCCCGGGTCGGCATGGGGGTTGCCCGCGATGGCCCGAAGCACCAGCCTCCTGCCGCCCTCAAAGGCAGGGAGGGGAGAGAGGAATCGTCTGTGCCCCGACGGCAGCGGCTCCCGAGGGCTTTCCCGTGAGGCGGGACGGAGCAAGGAGCGGGAGAAGGGCCGGCGGCCCCACGGCAGAGCCCTTCTCCCTTCCCTTTTAGCTGTTCCGACGTAGCGGGCGCCGCTGGGCCTGAGGGGAGCGGTGGGAAACGGCCGTGCCCCTTCTTCCCTGCCGTCCGTCCGCGGGGCCTCCATCCCTTTCCAGGGTACGGAGGGTCAGGGCAGGCGTGGGCGCCGCTCCCCTTAGACGTGTAGGGGTTTAGCAAGCCCTCGCCCTCCCGAGGCCTGTCACCAGAGAGACGGCTGCACTGACTCCCCCACGGCAGGCGCTTACAGAAGTGTAAGCAATGCCGAACGCCCCAGGAAGGTTTCTAACTCTTCCCCGTGTTTCAGGCTCTCGAGTGCAGCCGTGAGCTGGGGACGTGCTGGGGGGCTCGGCGAGCACTTCTTTTGTCATGGGCAGCCAGCCCCGGGGACGGCAGTCCCGGCTCCGGCGAAGTTGGAAGCAACATCTAAAATCACTGTAACTCCTGGAGTAGAAGGGACGGCATGCTCTCTTTCCCGCGTTTACTCGGGGCATTTGACAGGACTTTGCTCCCATCATTGTCATCGTTTTTCTCGCACAGCCCTTTCCCCGGGTGCTTGTGCGGCTCTGTCACACGGCATCCGGAGAAGGAAAATCGTTTAAATAGCAGTCGAGAAGGCAGAGAGGCTCAGGAGCAGTGCCCGCCAGCTTCCTCCTTCCCGAGGGTGCCTCTGCGCTCATCTGGGGTCCGAGGCGGCCCGAGCTGCCCGATGAGCAGGGGTCGGCTTGCGGAGGGGGCAGCCCGGGGATAAGGGGGATGTCCCTGCCTGGTTGATGGAAGGCCAAAACACCGCAGCGAGGCGGATTAACATCCCGGGGCGCAACGCTCGGGGAGAGGGCGCCGGCCCTCCGGCGGGAGCCGCCTATTGAGATGCAGATTGCGACCCCTGGCCCCGAGGGGACGGGGCCTTTCAGGGCGATGCTAATGGCAGAGCGCAGCAGCCCTTTACTCCCTCCCCGGGGCCGAGGCGGCGGGAGCAGCGAGACAGCGGCGGCTGCCGTCGGTGCAGCCCCTCGCGGGTCTCCTTTGCGAGCCCCCCCTTCCCCCGCCCGGCGCGGGGGGCGGTGCGGACCGAGGCCGCGCTCCCCCCGGTGCAGCCGGGGCAGGTGCCCGGCTGGGGCCGCGGGGGAAGGGTCGCGGGGAGGCGGCTCTGGAGCTGGGGGTGGGGGGTGCAGCCCCCTCCTCCTGCTGGATGTTGGGATTTGGAGGAGGGGCCGGCTGCCGTGCAGGGGAGGGGAGACGGCGGGCGCGGCGGTGGCTGCGCGGGCGCGGAGGCGGGAGGCACATGGGCCAGTGGCCGCGGAGAGACCCTCACACGCCTCCCACCGCCCCGCACGGACCCAGCCATCCTCCTCCTCCTCCTCCGCGCGGCGCATCCAGGCAAGAAAACCCGGGAATCTGACTGAACCTGCATTTCCATTAACTCAGCCTCAGCCCCGGCTAATCCGCAGCACTGAAGGCAAGGAGGCTAATTAATGACAAGCTTTTACAGTCAAGACCAGCGATAATTGCTTTGGTGGCCTTTATGATTACAAGATAAAAATGGACCGGGCCTGACATAAGAGCCACTGTGTACACTGCAAGACAGGAGGAAATTAAGAGCTGGCTAGCTGAATACGGAGCAGAAAATTACTAATAGAGGAGAGATAATGAATAGGCCGGCTAGGCATTCATGGGGAAAAATCCATTTTGTTACCACGCGAAATTAGGTGGTGGAAAGGAGTTTGCTAATTGTTCTCATCTTGTAGCAACCAGGACTGAGGCAGGGGCGTGCTTTTCAATTCATTTCCCTGGTAATTGTGAAAGGGGGAATGCAGGCCAAATGAGTCTTGCTGCAATTTGCGCGCCTGGTCTTTTCATTTTCATGTTGCGTTTTTAATTGTTGCTAATATAGCTTATAATGAAGCTAATGAGGGGAAATTATTGTACAACTTTTTAGCACATGGAGACAAGTGAAATGCACTAGAAGGATTCTCTTCCATTGCTGCAAAAAATAATAGTAATCTGGAGGAGTTTGGAACTATCGGGCTTTTCTTTTTAGCCGTTTCACTCTACAACAGACAAAAGGAAGGATCGCCACCTACTTTTCTCTTTTTTTTTTTTTCTGTCGTTCTGTGTTTTATTTTTCGCTAAGAAAAAAAAAAAAAAAAAAAAAAAAAAAAAACAACCAAAAAAAACCCCACAAAACCAATGCCGGATTTTCCCTTGCTGCGCCCCTCACAGCCCCTGGTCCTCGGTGCGGTGCGGGGGGAGCCGCGGGGCGCACCGCGGTGCTTGCGCGCATCCAGCACCTCCGCCTCTCGGTAGTTAAGTGAGAGCCGCCGGAGGGGAGGGGACGAAGCGAGGTATGGAAGCGGTTCTGTCCCTTCCCTTCCGTTTGCCTCCCTCCTCGGATGAAAGTTAGCGCTCTGCCGGGTGTGTCCCCCTCACCACCCCCCGCCCCCGACGGGGGTCCCCCCTGCGCGCTGCTCCGCGAACCGCGCAACTCAGGCGCTGCCTCTTCTCTCCTCCCCTGCAGAAAAGCAACGTCCCGCCGCTCGCGCAGCGTGGGGAAGAGGCAGAGTCCGCCAAATTCCTCCTCCTCACCCTCCTATCCCTCGCCTGCATCGCCGGGGTCCTGGCTGCGTCGGGGGTCGCCTACTGCCTCCGCCACCGCGCCCACCACCGCCTGAAGGAGAAGCTCTCGGCCCTGGGGGCTGACGCCGGCTCCGACGCGCCCGCTGCTTACCAGGTAAGAACCAAGCTCTCCTCGTCCGGCCCGGTGCCCGGCAGAACCCTGGGAGGGGGGTCCTTCTCGCGTTGGGAGTCGCGGAGGTGGATTTGTTTCTGACTCTGCCCCCCCGTCCCCCGCCCCCCGCTCCATTCATAGTCCCGCGGATCCGCTGTAGTAGCTTTTTACTGCTGGGTATTAATCTTGGCTATTCTGGTAGTTGTTGTAAATTCGTGCCTAATTAGAAACATTAAAAGGAGAAAAACAAAAAAAACAAAAAAAAAAGAAAAGAAAAAAGAAGCCCATGCCATTGAAATTCTCAGAAAAATAACATTAACATCCATAGTCTGTCACCCCTGCCACTATTAATAACGAAAAATCTTTAACATTTATGAGGAATGGATCGCACGGTTATCTGAAGATGTCTCTCTTTTTGAGTAATCGACTTCTTCAGGGTCTGATATGAGAAGAGCCTTTGACCCGATCTGTTGCCACCTTCTGCCATTATTCAGATAAAATGAAATCTAATGCTGATAGATGGGGAGGTAAACCAGGACTGGTTCTGGGAGAACAATGATAGCAGATGTGTACCCAGTAATACTGGAGGACTGCACTCAGCTCTCCTGAAATAAATCAGAGATTTCAAGCTTTCTCTTTCAGTTTCAAAAGTATTGGGTGGAGAGACACTCCACATCTTCCTGAAGTTTATTTTAGATCATGGCCCTTATTTCTTGATTTGCTATTGGTGTAGTAGCATGTGTTATGGCCATAGACCACACAGTCCTGGTCTGCTATTCGAAAATATTTGGAGTGTGACCAGGAAAAAGAATCTGAGAATGTGTAAACATTGTTTCTGTAGTATCCCTGTCTGCTGTGCACCCATAGGGCCTCGCTAATGGAACTTTTCTGTCAAGTTTTATTTTACTTTCTTGTTCTGCTTAGGATCAGGCATTCTGGCCTTTCTGTATCCTGGGGCTGAGGTAGATCCGAATTGGCAGCTGAGAGTCCTATGGGAATAAACTTATATTTCCTCGAGAAGTTTGGGTCCATCTGTACCTCTAATATGTTAAAGATGTAATGCATTAAGTATATCTCCACAGGCTGGGTCTAGGGAGAATTTAGTACAGAATAACAAATGTGAATGTTCCTGTAACAATTAGTATCTTCAACAATGGTTTTTGTTTTTGTTTAAATGAAATGTTTACTTTAGAAAAACCACATTAAATTACTTTACGTCTTTGAATTTAACACCTTCCAAAGCAAAACAGGGCAAGAGCATTTCCAGTAGAAAAAAAATGGAGTGTTCTCTGGGATGAAGTGTGAACAAAACAGCAGTTTATCAGTTTTGTTGGCCAGTGAGACTGTGGCCATAAATATTTTTGTTTGGTTTTTATAGGCAACTTGCTGTTGGCTTATTTAAAGCACAGAAGCAATAGGTAGTCTTTTTCTTCTGTCAAATGTGAATACAAGAATTCTTAATTTTTTTTAAAAAGCCCTCCAGGTTCCAAAACCACACTTGAAACTGAATTTGCGATAATTAACAGGACAATCTTCCTACTGACAGCTCTAATTAATAGTATCTGTAATTAAAATCGTGCCCTTCCAGCAGGAAAATTGTTTGAATTTCTTGGAGTGACCTTTTTTGCCATTCCTCCTGGGAGTGTAGGGGTTGATATTGATTTTATAATGAGCTCTGGTTTGTTTAATAAGAATCTGTAACCCAGACACTAAATGAAATATGTGCTTCTTTTTTTTTTTTTCACAGATTTATATATATTTTTAAATCTTTAGATCCGAGAGTGATGTTTTCTGTTTGAAAACAACAACAATGCTTAGAGGATGCTGCTCAGTTTTTCAATAGCAAGGCTGTATTAATATTCTTTGTTCCTGGCCTCTGGGCCCAGTCCTAACCACCTGACTTCTTAAACATTTCCATTGGTTTTTCAGGGGAACTGTAGTCATGTGTGGGAGGAAAAATGTTTTTCCCTCAATACAAAGGTTTCTAAGGGCTTTGCTCTCCTCCCGTGGAAGTAAATGGGAATTTTGCCATATGTTTCAATGGCAGCAGTAGGAAGCCCTGGTATAGCCAGTTTTGATGCTGCTAAGTAACATTTTATCAAAATGAATCACTGAGCCTGCATCTGTATATAACAAACTATTCACATGGATTTGAAGAAAAATAGGATTGAGCCCTATTCACCTTGTCAGAATTGCCTTATGTTGAGCTATGTTAAATGTAATGGATATCTGGTGTGATGCATGTTTGGATAACATCAATTAGGTCTCAGAAAAACATCCACTGTCTTTTTCTTCATCTTCTCTGATACTTGTAGGGGAGTAATGTAACCCATATTAATATGAGGGGGAAAAAAGGCGGATAGCTTTCAAAATTGTACCTTCTTGGTTCTGTTCTGTTTCCCAAGTAGCTACTTGGTTAATTTGGTGTATTTTCAAAATGGGAAATATTTCAGGAGCTGCTGCCACTAGGCTTAAAAGCATGGTACTCCAGTGTGTTGCTGCCTATAGCTGATGTGACAATTCAGATTTATTTTTTTTTAATTTGAAGGGGGAGAAATTGGTTGGTATAAAAGGGCCTGGTGGCCCCATGTGATTCAGAGCGAACACTGAAATATCACTTCGATTCACATGCTTCTCAAAATGTCAGTGGTTTATATCTTCACATAAACAAGACTGACCTAAATTTTCAGCATTTAGCAGAAGCATTTTTCATCCTAACCCAGTTCAGCCAGGAGAGTTCATTCAGGGTTTTACTCCTTCCTTGTTCACCCTGTGAACTTCGAAGAGTTTTTTCCCATAGATGGTTGGTTGGGGTTGGTTTCTTTTTCCTTACTAGTTTGTTCAGTGAAATGCCAGCTTGAGAAGGGGAAAACAGACAAACCATATTTTCAGGGAAACAGCAGGTTGGCTGCTAAGTCTCCCCCTCCATACTGGAGGCATAGCACCTGTCATGCAATATCACCCTCCCTCAGGCACTCACCTGCTAGCACGATCAGTCCTTACACTCAGCTACTAACACAAGTGCTTCTTGTGTAAATGCATGTAGGAACAACCCGTCTTAGGCAGGACAGCCAGTACTGTGTAAAAGTTGAAGCAGCCAAATAAAATCACTTCAGTGCCTTTGATAAGCTGTCAAATGGCCCAATACCTCTTGATACCTGGTTCTTTAGATGCTGGGTAAGGCAAGCAGCTGGCCCTCAAAGTGTTAAAGTAGGATCTGGGAAACCCTATTGAAAGACTAACAGGAGGAAGGACAGATACACAGTTGCAACTTCATTTATCTTTGAATCACTAAACAACAAAATTACAGGCTGGTTTAATTAGGCAGAAGCTGAGGAGCTTTTCAAAATTAATGGAAATAGTGTATCTCGTAAAATGTTGCATGTGCATAAAACACATTTTATACATAAAGGCGGACAATTTTTGTGTGCTTTATAAACACGTCTCCTGTCCTTTCAAACCACACGTGTAATGATTAGATAAGTCAGCGTTAGCATTCAGGGATGACTAAAAAGAGGTTCTTAGTGCCTCCGCAGAGCCCCTGCGCATGCGCCCACCTGCACCCCTGTTTTTAATTGTTGCTGGTGTTGCTTTGATCTTCTTTGAAAAGCAAGTTTAGCATTCTGCAAGCCCCCTCTCTGGTCCAGGAGATTAGGGCAGAAGCGTTTTAGGAATTTTCAGCAGACACTCTTTGATTTATTTCACAACACTGAACAGATTTTCTTCATGCACTTTGAAGACTTTAGAACATAACCCAGAGAAAAACGGGCATGCAGGCATCGGGAGCGGGTGGCGAACAGGGCCGCTAAGTGCACATCTTACTTGTCACTGCTCCCATTAGCGAGCAATTTATTAATGTAATGAGTCTGTGCTAGTGACTGCTACTATTTAGAGATGCTCTGTTTGATTCAGGGTGATGTATTTGTGAGTCCAGCTGAACTCTGGCTTTTGACCCCTCTGTGGGAAACGCTCGGCTGTGCGAGATGTTAAATCATCAGCATATTTCATACTTTGCACTGCAGAACTTTCCTATGAGCATGGTCTTCTGCATCACTGATAATGCTCGGCAGAACATTGCCCATAATGGAATTTAAAGGCAAAAGTTGAAATGCTCTGAAGCTGGATTCAGCAAGCTTACCTTTTAATATTTTATGTTAATATTTAATGTTATTTTTCATTTTCCTTCATCTCAGCCAAAAGAACTTTCTTTAAAAAGAGAGGGGGAAAAGACCAAACAGTTTCCGATAAAGTTCCTTCTTAAGCTGCCCGAAGTATTCAAGGTTACGTGAGCTGTGCACTGTCAGTGCAGAAGGATTACATCATCAGCTGTTTTAAAAACTTGTCCAAATAACTTGATTTGGCAGGCATATAATTGCAAATTATATATTAAATTCTACATTATTACATGTATTGTATTATATATAAATTATATATTCCTTTGTCAAATACAGTCTTATTAATTACATGATCCTGCTGGATTCAAAGCCCCTAAGAAGTTCTCTGGGCTTTTACAGATTTGATCCTGCTGGTATTTTTATTAGAGATGTTAAGAACACAGTATTTATGACAATTACAATAAATATTTTGCTGCAAATATTTTTAAAGGCTCCAATTGAAAGAATCCACTGGAAACAAACCCTCTACTTAACCATCATGTATGGTTTATGTGTTTAAATACCAGATAATTCATTGCCTCTAATATGGCTTAATATTTTACACTCTGGACTGAATTTTGTAAGCAAACTTGTTATTATAATATTAGATCTTAATGTTATAGTAATACTGTAAATCAACACCTTAAAAATGGAGTTTTGTGGACTAAGTGAAAAAAAGAAGAAAAGAAAAGGAAAATTTTGCTGTACTGTTATCTAGGTCTCTGGAATATTCCAATTAACATCAGCATTGGGACCAAGGAAAGCTGGTAAACTGGGGATAATCAGTGCCATAAATTATTACCTCCTATCTTTATAAAACTTAGTTTTCAAGGACCCTCCTACACTTAA